CCCCCCCCCATGTGTGAGTGAATGAGTGTTTTTAATTGCCGACAAAACATACAGTAAACAAACTTTAACATCATTCTTCTTTTTACATTGTCTACATATGTCAGATTTATTTTTAGTATTGTAATTTATTTTACCAGTTATTATCCTGTTGTAATTTATTTTACCAGTTATTATCCTGTTGTAAAATAATATTGTGTATTTTTCCCTACCTGAAATGCTAAGTTGCTGAGTTTTGATTGAAAAACAGGGAATGGTAATCAAGAGGAAAGCTGTGAAAAGACCCATGGTGGGATCTGCTGAGAGACAAAAACAAGATGAACAATTACAAACAGAAGCTGGAGCTGAGAAGATGGAGAGTATAATATGCATAGAGAATCAGGAAACTCAGGGAATATACACAGCAGATGATGAAAGAGAGACAAACAAGAGGGAAGAATCCACCAGGAGGAGGGAAAGGAGGATATGCTGGCAGACGCTGCAGATTGTAAGAGGAAACAACATTTGCAAGGTTTTTGCATTTAAATACTCAACAGATCTGCCAAGGCAGTCATTTTGTTATTTCAACAAATGACTGCAACATTGAAAGGGCCTCCAGCTCAAATAAGGGCAATTGTCTTCCCTGATAAACTACTCAGTCAAAAATGATAATACTTCTCAAGCTTGTTTTGACTCAGTTAAGAAAATCACTGAAATGACCTCCGGTGGCTTAAAGAGTCAAACAAACAGGAAGCCTCCATGTTTGTTTCGACCAATTTTGTTATCCGCTGTGGGGATGCATCATTTAATTTAATTTAAAGAAGAGCACTTCTTTTTGCATATCCCTTTGTTGGTTCAATCACTCACAGTTCTCCACAGAACTTGGAGTGTGCAATCAGTGCTGCAGAGAAAGTGCTCCTGGAAATGGACCTCATTTCAAATGCCCTCTTAAAGAATGACCTCGACCCTGGGACCTGCGCACACCAACGTAGCTGCTGTTCTTACAAGACTGAAAGGACCTCCTTGCAGTTCAAAGAAGTCCCTGAGAGAGCTTTGGTTCAGGCTGAAGCAGCAGATATTAACATTCCTGATGTTATTCCAAGCCAGGCGAAGTGCAGAGAAATACCTGCAAAGTGAAAGGCACGGTTCCACATCGCTGACTGAAGAGTATCAGCCGCAGAGGTGTATTACAAAGGCAGTCTGTACTTATATCATTGATCTCAGTTCATATTCAGGAGCTCCAGAGACATGATGGGAAAGGGAATGTAGCTAAAATCAAAACAGACCATTCACACCTCATCAGATCCATCAAAGTAGGATGTTGGAGATGAGCGAGTTATAATGGGTTTTTTAAAATACTTTTTCAGAGGTTTAAGAGGGGAAGCTGCTGCTGACTGAACTGAGGTGTTTTACTCTGCGTAAGAAACTTCCCAGGAGAGCAGAGGTTAAACAGAGTGTATTCGAAAAGCGTGAGAATCTAGTTGTTTTTCCATCACTATTGAAATTGGTGAAAATATATGATCTTCCAGTGTCAGCACGCTCTTTAGAAAGTTAATGAGTCAAGCAGATTGTGTCACTGTTGGTAGACAATGGAAATGCAGAAGGTTAAAGTGCATTGCATGAGTATGCCTGCTGCCTGAATATTACCAAACATTTTCTTCCTTCAGAAAATAATCACAATAAAACAGGACATAAGATTAAGTCTCAATAGTCTAGTTTTATTTATCCCTTATTTACTATCTCTTTCTTTCTCTACCTCATTTTGTTCTACCCAGGCTTCACTCTGTGTGTTTCTCAAGAGGATGAAGATAAAAATTGAGACTCATTATTCCTAACTCAAAACAAAAGATTATAACCCTAAAGAAATATAAACGCACGTTCTCTCTCGTCATTCAGTGCAAAACTAACTAGCTAGATGCCCATCTAGCCTGTACAGTATGTGTGCATTACATTAAATGTTACACTCCATTTGCAGTAATGTCACGCCTGAGGCTTGAGTAAATGGGTTCTTCCATCATCCTTGACATTTATATAGGGTCAGTGTAAACATAGTAGACCTTGAAGCCTGCTATCATTGTTATATTTTCATCAAGCCTGGCTCCTGACACAGTAAAATAAAAAACATGCGATGTTTCGTACAACAGGATACCATTTCAAACCAACCCCCCCCCTGCTATATACTCATATTTCGCTCCCCTGAACATGTTGCACCTATAAACACCAGCTGGCTTAGTTTCTTAGATCAATAGAAATAAAGAAACATGTGGCTTTGGGGTCATTTCAGCAGGGAATGAATTTGTACTCAGGTTTAGTGGTTCATCCAGCACCCAGAAGGCAGGTGGATTAATTCTCGCACACACAACACTACTGCTATAAAACATAACCTATTGTTTTCTCTATCGGAAAGGACAAAAGATGATGAGTTTCTGTTGTGATGGATTAAACAGATTTAACAGGCTCTCTTCTCAAATACAAAGCTGGCAGCCTCTGAAGCACCATCTCTACAGCCACAGAACAGGAGCCCTCTGTCTTTTTCGGTTAAAGACACATCTTTGTTTCAGGTTTTTACATTATACATAATGGTAATTATTTTTAAATTGCATGGCACTGAGATACTACTTATTTTTGTCTTCCACACTTATCGTGAATGTTGGATTTACTCTACCTGTCCAGCCCCCTCCTCTGCCTCCATTTTTCTGAGTCATGAGGGATTTTAGCGACTCATGCATCTCCCCTTCACTGTCTCTCTTAACCCTCCTTTCCTCTGTGTGTGTGTGTGTGTGTGTGTGTGTGTGTGTGTGTGTGTGTGTGTGTGTGTGTGTGTGTGTGTGTGTGTGTGTGTGTGTGTGTGTGTGTGTGTGTGTGTGTGTGTGTGTGTGTGCGTGTTGTGATGAAGGTCCACTCAGCAGGCCTATAAGCTTGGCTCAGTAAATAATGGAACTAACGAGCATAAGCCCAAATGAGCTTTTAATGGGCTCTGTCTACCTGCGGCTACAAGAGAGGAATGGGTGGAGGAGGCTAGGGGGCAGAATGATTAAAACAGAATGAGACAAGAAAGGGAGAGGTCAAGGTAGACAAATGAAAAATATAAAGGTCAGTTTTTAGCAATTACTGTTTCCTTACTTTGTACATTTGTAACTGCGTTGTTTTGGTATTGATTATTGATATCTGACCTTGAGATAAGTTACATTTGTTTAGTTTTGGATATCCCATCCCAGGTATGCCATAAAACACACATGAGCAACATTATGTGCACATTATTTAATCCTATTATTTGAATGCAAGCTCCCAGCCTTTACCTTATTATTGAATTCGCTATAAGATGAATGTATGACCCATTCAAAAAAGGGAACATATCATGAAACACTCACATTCAGTGTTTGTGGACACAAGATAGATACATGTTGGTTTCTGGAGTCATTTTTTAACCAACACACTGTAAAATAAATCCAACCAGTCATATTTTGTGGGCTGCATTGATCAGAACATTTGTTATTATTAATAAAGCCATTCAAATGTGTCTCATACACATCATTTGACTTACTCAGGTCTGCTTCTACCAGTGTCCCTTTTCCTTCCTATAACTAGAAGGCTCTGACCATACAGCATCCATAAAGAATGTATGGAGCGGTGAAGCACCATGTGAAAGTAGTATACATATAATAAATGCTCCATGTATATTAGCTTTTGATATGGATATCTTAACATAAATGACAGTTTGTTCCCACTTAAGTGTTCTCGACTTTGACGTAATGTAATGATATCATTTTTTGACGATGCTCCGCTTGTGAGATACAGTTAACACAGAGGCTAAAGAGAGATTATGATCAATCAGATAGATGGCACAGAGAAACATTTGGCCACGGCGATTGATGAGTTGTCTGTTCGGCTGACAGAGCAGCAGACATGCATGGAACTGTAAATAGACACTTGATTGATAACACCTCATTGTGCAGTCTTGGGTTACGGTTGCATTTCTTCTTCATGCTGCAGTTGCATCATTACTCAAAGTGTGCGGGCAACGCTGTCTCCAGAGGAGCCACACCAATATATGTGAGGGTCTAGGGTTGAGGTATTAAAGGGCTTTTCAGAGAGGAACTGCATAAATGTAAATCTTAAGGCTCTGACTGTTGATGTGTGTGATTAAACATCTTCAGACACTCGCATCTTTTATGGCCCTGCCTAAAAGATGTAAATAAAACATCATTCATGCAAATAGGCTGTCTAGCACTTCATTTTTCTTACAGACTTGTTTATTAAACCTGTCATTTTGAACCATCGCTGGTTTTGTTTCTTCGCAGAGTGCCGTGATGTGCTGTTACCCATGATGCTGCGGGAGTTGGGTGGGGCACTTGCCAGCATGGCTGACGGGCCTCACGATGAGAGGAGAAATAGTCTGGAGCTGCTTAACAACATTCTGGAGGTCCTCAGCCGGGACAGTGTGGTAAGACGTGGAGCTATTTAATAGTTAAGAACACATAATGGAAATGTTTACACTGCACTCTGGGTGATTGTTCGTGTTCACACCGCAGCGGAGCAGCCTCTTAGCTCCGGAATCCGGTTCATTTCGAGCACCAAAAAATTGTCCGGCTAGAGCAAAAGCACCACATATGTCACGCTTACGTCGAGGCGGGGGCAGGGGCAGGGGCGGGATCAACTCCTGAACAACAACAAGAAGCCCGTGTTTTATCCAGTTTGTACACAACGATGGAGAAACTTAACAAGCAGCAGTGGTCCACTGAAGAGACCAGCTACCTACTGGGGATCTGGTCTTCCGAAGAGGTACAGAGGAAGCTGGAGCACAATCGGCCATTGGTGTTGTTGTCAGTGTCAGCTGTGAGGGGTTTCCGCGCTGTTTGGCTTTATGAAGCAGGCACGCAAACGGTTACGTCATGACGCAAACAATGACGCAATGACGCAGCACCAGTCGGACTCTGGGCAGTGTGAAAAGAGCCGGAGCCAAACCGAAGAACCGGTTCTGAACCTGATAAGCTCTAGTACGGAGCTTGAACCGGAGTTGCGTTGGTGTGAATGAGGTATCTGAGGACATGTTGGGATCCAATTTCTTTGTTGACATTTGAATATAGTTTAGCTAGATATTATAAACTCAATCACAAATCATATTAACACCAAGTTCCTATGTGTTTCAGACTATCTCTCAACATCATTACCTCCCTCATTGTATTTCCTAACAACTTCTTTCATTTGGAGGTTTTCTGTGTAGTTTTACTCCATAGGCCGAAAGCAATCCCATTACCTCAACAGCTGTTTGGCTGAACGCTTACAGTTTCCTGAGATATTTAAATACCAATGGTCATTTGAGGTGCAACTAAAGTGCAATAAGTGGGCCGCAACAACATCGGTTTCGACTGGTTTAAACTATAAATGTGCCAATGACCACACTAATACATTCTAGATTATTACCGATGAGGCAGACCAATAAACAAACAACCTATAACTGAACTTTAAGCATTATTTGCTCTCATATAACATTAAACCTTCTTTCACAGGATTTTTATTAGTAAAGTGTTCTTGTAAAACAAGGCAGGCAAGAACTAAAAAACTTTTTCTTTATCTTTTAAGGATCACTGGATGAATGTGTAATGCCCCTGAGCTCTGTGCCTGCCCAGTGCAATTTGTCTCCTAAAGAATAAAGTAAATAGCCTTAAGCTGTTTTGTTTCCAGTCCTCCAGTTGTGCAATAGTGCAGGCCTTGACCAATTAAAATCTAATTGATTGTGCCGCATGTTAGTCTGTTGAAACACCTTTAATACTCACACAGAACAAATACATCAATGGAATCCATCTGAGGTCTTTTAAATTGCTTTTGCGAGGTATTGGCAACCTGCTGGGTTTTTTAAGTGAAGGTGTGGCTCTTCTTTCAGCTCTATTTGTCTGGAGATCTGTAATCAAGCATGAGCCGAAACAGGAGAGGAGAGGGAGAAGTACTGAATGAATGCAGTGCAATATGATGACATTAGCATGCGCCGGTTGCGGTATAACAAAAGAAAACAGGCTGTAGCTGAGATTCAAAGGGACATAACAGGTACAAACATATCAATGTAAAAACAACAATGCCAGTGAAGCTACGTCTAATGCATGCTTTATATGGCATTAGGGGAAATGTCTGCTGATAGACTACATATAAGTGTCAAGACTCTTAGCAAAACACACACTCAGAGTGAGCATTAGTTCTGATATTTATTTCTGGATTTAATTTAGTACGCATTCACACCATCTAGAGTGTGTGTTGCTAGACTGCATGGTAGAGTTTAATGAGAACCCTGACCGGCAAAACCTCTGCATTACTTCCTTTCTTTATGCTTTGCAGCATAAAGAAAGGAAGAAGGGAAATCATTAAGAAGAGGAGAAAAAGCCAGATGGATGAATAATGCCAATCAGGGAGAATGAAAAACATTGAATGGAATGGTGAGAGAGAGAGAGAGCATTAAAAGCTAAACAGACAGAGGTGAGAGGGTTTATGTCTACACTAATAAGGTGGAGGGGTTCTACAAGACAACTATGCACTGAACTAGAGAAATGACAGTCTGAAATTGGAATGGGGGTGCAAGAAAACAGGTGGAAGAAAACAACAGAAATAGAGGAAGACATGGGTGATTTGAGACTGTCTCAGTGTCTCACCTTCTGGCCCTCTATCACTTATTTTCATCCCCTCTCCTTTTGTTTTCCACCCATCTGTCTCTCTCTCTCGCTCAGGTTGTTACCTGATTAAGTTGTTGCACAACAGATGTCCCCAAACTGGGGAGAGAAGCATCAAAAAAAGCTTAGATGTAAGAGAAGATAAAACAAAAGACAGATGCTCTAGGAGAGTTTGTGTTGAATGTATAAGTCAGTCTTGTTTGTGTATGTGAGTGATAGAGGGAGGATGCAAACAGAGAGAGACAGTAAGAAATGGCTCACCCAGGCTTCCTCGTTTTTTTCTTTTACCTATCCCCAAAACGGTTATTTTCACATTATTTTGCCAGCGAAAGATAAACCAGTACAGTTTGGAATACATGAACAGAGTATCGACATCTTTGTGTTTTGCAGGAGAGGGAACGAGCATTGTGCCTCATCTCCCGTCTTCCAGCTCTGACAAACCAAAATACCTACTGTGAGCCAGAAAGAGTTAGGCTTATTTGGGATCAACAGCTGCGCCACAACCTTAGTGTGTGTGTGTTTGAGTGTGTGAGTGTGACACTGAGAGCGTGAGAGGGAAAGTTTAAGGTAGTCTCAGATGGAAATGGTATGCAAGAGGACACACTACACAGTTGTTCATCTTTCAGTGCCCTGTGGCTGAGTCAGTACATTTAGTGTGGTTTAATCTTGCCTTCATCTGGCCCTTAAAATATCATCTGCCATCAGGCCAGCACACACAGCAACACACACAGACACACAAGCAAAGTCAGTAGAAGAGAGATTGCTGTTTTAAACTTTGAACTTGAGTCTTTTTTCCCTACTTTAATTTATATTCTGACCTTTGCTTTCTGCTATTATTATTTTCTGATCAGCTCACACAAGGACATGAACAAAAAACGAATTCTGGTGAGATTATTATAACACTGTTAGCATACTATAAACAAATGTACACATACACACAAACGTACACACACACACACACACACACACACACACACACACACACACACACACACAAACACAAACACAAACACAAACACACAGACACAAAGATGCACCCTGCAGCATTATTGCTAAGATGTGCTTGGATGCAGCAGATGCCCCAGTAGTGAGTTACTGCCCTCAGGCAAGTCTGAGTCAGCTTCCATTGACCGATTCACTGTAGCATAGTGTGTGTGTGGTTGTGTGTGCAGGTTTGTATTTTTGTTCTGTGCTCTTGGATGCATCTGTCAAGGTGCATATTTTTTATGTAAAATTAGTATTTTTTGGAAAGAAGTAGTACTACAGTATTTGTATGCGTCATTAGTCCGACTTTATTTTTCTCAACTTGCCTTTTTCTTGGGTGTCAGACTATTTAAATTACTTTGTTGCCTTTTTTAAGGTGGCAAATGTCTTGAAAAAAAAAGTTGTTTTCAGTATTTTTTTAGAAATGTAAAATGTGTTATCTTATTAAAGGCTTTATTTTCATCATGCATTGACTGCTTTCTGCATATTCAATGTTAAAACAATACAGATGAATGGTGGCAATAATGTTTGGGTTACAGGACAATGGATCTCAATTATATTGCTTAACAAAATAAGGAGAAAATCTTTGACCATGGGTCATCTTATTCATAGTACAGGTGTTACCTAAAACATCTAAAGCAGGGGTCACCAACCTTTTTTAGGATGAGAGCTACATTAAAAAAATAAAACAAGTCGGGGGCTGCTTTTACTCCTCTTTTTTTGCTTTTTGCAGTGTATATATTTAGCACATTTTAGCATTATTATATGCTTACCTTGAACCTTTGTGTGCTGTTTGGGTCTGTGGGACCCTTTTTCAGCATTTACTAAAATAAAATGCATTCAATTTAATTATTTTAACCTGCTTTATTTGGGGGTGGACCCAACATCCTCTAGGGGGGTCCTCACCTACTCTAGGGGGGACCTCACATCCTCTAGGGGGGTCCTCACCTCCTCTAGGGGGGACCTCACATCCTCTAAGGGGGTCCGGGGGCATGCACCTCCGGGAAGATTTTTTTTTTTAAATGTTGAAGTTGAAAGCATCAATCTGGTCCACATGAATTTATTGATACAGCTCTCAACACTCATATGAAAGGGAGCTGTATACTTTTCAATAATCCAAACATCTTTAGAATATGATCACAACCAATAACAAATCATTTAAACTTGTTTATTCTTACCTTACCTAGTTAGCATTCTTTCTTTCTATTTATGCATATTTTACGAATCACTCCCCTTTTAAACAGTTTTTTTTTGTGCTGTCCTATAGTTACATCGGAATGATTTCTTACTTTATCTATATTAAATAGATAAAGGTGTGCTCTCCCTGGCTCTCTCGCTCTCTCTCTCTCTCTCTCTCTCTCTCCCTCTGTCTCGCTCGCTCACAGAGCTTGTGTGCTCCTCCGTGGTGATGACGGCTTGCGTTAAAAAATAATAATAAACATATTTGTAAAGTGGGGGGACACAAACGGGATTTCGAAAAGTCGGGGGACATGTCCCCTGTCCCCAGTCCCTAGTGGAAATTACGCCATGCGTGTGTGTGTGTGCGTCAAGTGCAATAAATATTGCGTAAAACTCTGGCCCTCATGTGCTGTATAGGCTGGCATGACGGCTGCTCAATGGGGCTGATGTGTTGTGTAGATTCTGCCAGAGGGAAAATCACGGTCACACTCCTTATGAAGCGGTGAGCTGCCGCTCCACGTTGCTTTTCTTCCCGACTGCAACGCTGGTCCCGCAAATCAAGCAAGAACGTGATTGGTCGATATTCATTGTGGGGGTGGGGGGGTGTTAGATAGACATAGAGTTAGATAGATATAGAGTTGTATTTTTAGTTTTGTGTATTTTTTACATTTTGAATTTGCTTGGCGAGCTATTTTTAGAACATGCACCGCGGGCGACTCACGTTGGCCCCGCGGGCGACTAAGTGCCCGCAGGGGCAACGTGTTGGCTACCCCTGATTTTAAGTAATCCCATATTATAATATTAAATGGGTATCAATTATCAATATGTTTTTGAGGTATTTGACATAAGATATCACAATATGTGAGTTTTTTCATATACCACTGCCTACTCCTTTTTATGTTTATTAGTGTTGGTTGTCAAAGCCTGCTTTTAATATGACTGACCCCTGAAATATTATCCACAATGTTTTCTTTTGCTTCATAAAACAACTAAATTGCTAGAAAAAAACCTCCCTTTCCAGCTCCAGACAGTAAGACCAACCATATGTGCCAGTTTAACAACACTTGCCATGACAAATAATTGTTATATTTCAACTAGGAGAAAGTAATTTGCCTTGGGAAAGGTTTAAGCACAGACTGTTCGATACGTCTTCTCCTCCTTGTTTGCCTCTGGGCAGATGGAGGAGAAGAAAGCTGAAAAGTGGCTTCAATGGAAAGGAAAAGGTAGGAATAGGAAAGCAGGTTTGCACAAAAAGGCCTTTGAGGTTCAAATGTCCACACTGAGGATGATTAACTGAATGTCCTGGTGAGGCCTCTTCCTAAAAAGTGAACCGACTTCTAACTTGATTCTCTTTGTTTTTTCATTTGATCTGCCAATCGTCCATTCAGAGCCCGAGTGAATCTTTTATTGTGTGTGCAAACTTGGTTATTTCTGCTGTGAGGAGAGTTCATGAGAGAGAAAAACGGCAACAAAAACAAACCAAAAGTTTCTGAGATGGATCTGATGTTATGCCTGAGAGGAAGCTCATTCAACAGAACCGGATTCTGTTCTGCAGCTGTTCTTGTTTTTGTGTGTATTAACAATATTATGGTTCCTTGTCTATACTTCTCTCTCCATCTTTCTCCAGTATTCCCGTCATTTAACTCTGCTTTTTGTTTTCAGGGTGAAACCTTTCAACATGTGCAGGACATTGTGGTGTCTCTGCTGAGGATCATCAACCGGACGGTCATCACGATGGGAAGAGAGCACGCCCTAATCGTAAGTACATAAAGGACTGCAGAACCTCCTCTCTTTTCTCACCTCTTTCAAATGTATTCATATAAAGACCATCCACTCTTGTCTGCTATATGACTTCATTTTGAAACACAAAGTATTTCAACACAATGACATTTTGTTTAAAATACACACTTTATTGTACATACAAGAGGAAGATCAGGAAGAGAGGGGGATTGTGGGAGCTCACACACTGTTGGGTTAATTAGTGAGTGTGGTTTCATCCAGTGGTCTAATTGGTGGCAAACCTGTCAGCCAGAAGCAGCTGGAGTAGGTCCTTTTAAGATTTAGTGGTTAACCTCTAAACTGCTGTGGGCTAAGCAGTGTGCAAATGGTGTGTGTTTGTGGGGAAAATAATGATGTGGGTGTGTTTCCAACAGGGATGGACGCTAGAGTAGTCTGCCAATATATAATTTATGAAAAAATACTGTATATTAACCCACACATTTTGTTATGATATACATTAAGACATGTATTGGTACAACTTAACTTTAAAATAGGATAAAGTAGCTTCACCTGATAAAAATACTGATTTGTCTGTCTATTTTGTTAAGATGTGTGTGAATGATTTTAGCATTTGGTTGCTTTATTATAGCTTAATGAACCAGATGTTTATCTTATGTGAACAAGGTCATGTTTGTTATTGAGGAATAGCTTTAAAAAAAGCGTTTTATTCTGTTCAATTCACTGGGTAACTTAGTGCATGTACTCACTGTGAAACTGCAGTCACAGTTGATGGGTGCTAAATCACATGAAACAGATTATGTCGGGCTCTCCATATGTTGCACAACAACAAAGCATTCCGCTGCATGATTTTTGCAACGTGAACTTAAGCAAAGCTTCAGAAATACACAGCTAGTCTCACAGTGATCATACAGAATGTATAGGTGCTGTATTAGCTTAGGCTTTGCAAGTATTGATACACATTTGAAACATGAGTACAGGCCAATAACTAACTGTTCTACCCCCTAGTTTGCATTGGTTCAAAATGTGTGAATGTGTGTGTGTGTGTGTGTGTGTGTGTGTGTGTGTGTGTGTGTGTGTGTGTGTGTGTGTGTGTGTGTGTGTGTGTGTGTGTGTGTGTGTGTGAAATCCTTAAAACAAGCTTGAGTTTACAACAAAACACTTCCACTTTGTCCTGGTGAGGTCAAAGGTGAGAATCAATCACTCTGTCAAACAACGCTGACAGCATTTTTTAAAGCACTTTGAAAAGGTCTATCGGCGTGCTGCCTATCACTTCTTCTCTTAATGTATTCTTAACACAGTCCACTGTGCTCTCCAAACCCTGATATCCATCCAGCGAGCTGTTTGTTTCCAGAGAGCATCATTCTGTCCCACATATGTCCTCTATAGCTGTTCAGTCGTTGCTACATTCATGTTGGCTCTCACTCCGTCCAAAGACACAGTATTCCGATTTTGTTGTTAGATTGCTTGGATCATCAAAATCATTCTGATACCAGTGCTTATAGCTGGGACTCAGAAAAGATTGATGTGGGGATTATTTCCCAGCTGTAGCGTGAATCCATCTTGGGATAAATCTGTTCATACATCTGTCCATATGCCTCACCAACCACTCAGCCAAGTGAAAAATAATACTCCTGTCTGTCATCCAAAGATTTGATGCTTCATCTCTTTTTTAATTATAATGGGAGAACAGTATCCTCACTTTGAGTCAAAATGTAATCTCATATTAGCTGCTTGAGTCCCACAGAGGGAGGGTCATGGTCTTCCTCAATAACCCTCTTGGGTATATCAGAGAACAAAGTTCAGCAGATCCCCATTTTTTCTTTCTCTACCTCGTCCTGTAGTGTATATTTTGTAGAGCTGAAGATGGATTGCTGTGGGAAAAGTGCCATTTACAGGGATGCTGCTTAAAAAAAAGCCACCACTGATTTAAATGACACTGAAACACATGTCACACCCCGGAGACCAGGAGGGGAACACTATGTTCCAAAAGTTTGAGGCCTGTAGTCTCCTGCTACACCCATATGCTTGGAAAGGTGCTTTTTCCCAGATTTTACAGCCACCAAAAACACTTCTTACGGAGCTTCTTGACACGCGCCTTGGTGCTGGGACGACTTGCGGAAGAAGGGGCTAGGGTGGGCTTGGTCAGAGTCAATGCAGGCACATCATACTCCCCATCCAGGGCCTCCATCACCCCCTGGAAGCGTCCCTCCTGCTGTCGGAAATCATGCTCCACACTGGAGAGGAGAGACAGAGAGAGCCGGAGAAGGAGGAGGAGACAGGAGAAGCAGCGGGAGCACAGTTAGAGTTTGAACTAGGGTCAGTTAAAGTCAAATTCATAAAAATAGCCAATTTATTCACAAAAGGAGATTAGATATGGGGGTGCCGAGGAGCGTATGAGCAGAGCGTTTTGACTACAGGTATAGGTGTACTCTGCAGAAAGAGAGATTAGAGAGAGGGATTGAGAAGAGGTGAGCGAAGGAGTTTTAGTGACATTAAAATGTAAAGTGGATCGTAAATTGCTGACAACATCTAAAGACAGGGGCTGTACTCACGCATAATACATTTTTATATAGAGGTGTGAAACCATGTTGTGTTCTTAACTCTGATACATGCACCTTCAGCAAACGCACACACACGCACACACACTCACATTTTCACAGAGGTCTCACTCTGCACGTATTTCCAGCCATTGTATTCTTTCGCGCTTCATGCACCGAGAGATGACAGGCTGGTGAGACGAGTGGATTGGGAAGAGAGCAGGAAAAGAGAGGAGGGAAAGGGGTCTTTTCAGAAATGGCGGAGCTAAAGAGAGGAGCATAGGGGAGAATGTTTTTTTCTTTGCTCTTCTGATGTGTTCAAAGCAGACCCTCTTGGCTTTACTTTTCTATGCTTCTATACTGTATTTCCACTGCCCGACTCTCATCTCTCTCACACTTTTCCTCTCCATCTCTCCGAAGTGGCCACAGCTGCGGGTCATAGTGTAGCCTTGGAGTTTCTTTCTCCTTTCAGTAACTTTGTTTGTGTGTGAAGGATTATGTGAGTGTGTGTCGAGTTGGATTATAGGGGAGGAGTCGCATAGGGCCCGGCATCTGAAGGTAATGAGCCACATGATGAGGCAAGGAGAGCAGAGACAACTCCCCATCCCCTCCTACCATCACACACACACACACACACACACACACACACACACACACACACACACACACACACACACACACACATATGCTCCTCCCCTGACATCCATCATGAGCTTCTTCCACAACAAGCCCCCCGGCTGAGTGTGGGGGGGAAAGGGAATGTCCATGGATTTATGGAATGAAAGAGGAAAGAAGCTGATTCTTCCTCGACGGGGGGACGCAGCGGTGGGTAAATAAAAGAAATAGCAAGCTTAATAAAAGAGGGCAGAGAGGTCCTGAAGAAAATAAATCTCAGAGGGAGGTAAAGGAGGAGAGGAGGAGGGCAGAAATGGAGGCACAGAGGGAACGAGTCATAAGGGGAAAGTAAAAGCTCTGGTGTTCGGAATATGGCTGCCATGAATAAATAATAAAGGAGATGAACTATACTTATACACAACATATATATATAAGGAAACATAAGTGGTGCACCTTTCCCACATTCACTCAATTTATAGTGGTTCTTGTTTTAGAGAGGAGGACTTTTCTTCCTCTGTCGGGTCTCTCAACCTCCCCCTCTTTAAATTCTCTCTAACTACCTCCCTCTACCCATATCTACCTCCCTTCCACCATTGTTCGACAGATTACGGCACAGTGGGAAAAGCCCCTGCTCTTAATTCGGTCTGCAAGCTGTCAGCTTCTTTGCAACTGTGTGCATGACTGGGTTAGTGTTGCTTCTAAGAACCTGTTAAATGTTTAAACCTTCTCTTTTTGTTTAAAGTGAAGGTAAGTCATGTCGGGAACGGGGTTATACTTAGGTTGTGCATGTAGTGTGTTCTGTTACTGCTGTATGAGTGGAAGCAAGTCTCAGAAGTATTTTGTCAGTGTGTTCATATATGTGTGTGTTTGAAGTGTTAAGCGTTGGGAGAAAAAAGAGGCCTGTCAAAAGTTCCTCTTGTGATACAGATTAATTAGCGCTGACAATGGCAAAACATCTTCAGGCAGCCAGCCCACATCAAAACCACTTTTTTCACCACAATTCATTAGGATGGATGGTTCAGTCCCAATTTATCCTCCGCTTATGTGTGTCTCCTTCCTATCTCTCACGCTCTTTACTGAGAATCCTCTCTGAGGGCTTGATAAGGCCTCTCATCAAACAAATTGAGCTTCTGACTTTTGTGTGTCTTTGTCACAATGGGCAACTGGAAATTGTTTCTGCATATATAATGTGTGTAAAGGAAGTTATGCTGATATATGAGAAGAAAAATTATTATGAAGCAGATACTGCATATCTGTCCAAGTCATTAACATTTTCAGAAAGCGTGAAGTATATCCGTTTCTTTGTTTGTCGGTATGTATGAGTGTGAGCATGCAAGTAAGCATGAAATGCATGCATAGACGTATCCAATAATAGCTGATTCATTTTTTTGTTGGATTAATTAGCATATGTGTATACATGATCATATTTGCAACTGTGCAAAAGTGGGAAGGTAACATCTGTGAAACTGAGAAGAGAGAAAAGAGGGATGATAATGAAGTGAGAAAAGCAACTTGCTGTTGAGATCAGGATAGCTCCAGGCCCTTGGAAAACAAGTGGTCTAAAGATATCTCAATTCAGGGCCTTGAAAGTATTTTAAAGTCTTATTTACTGTTATTACAGGATTAAAGGGTAGTTTATTTTAAAGGTAAAATAATAACATTACATAGAACAAAATAGTCCTTTAAGTCCTGTAAACAGAATGTATCTGAACAAATGTCATACATCTCTACATTTTGTTTTTCTTTCTTTCTTTTGTAGCCTTTTTAAAATTAAGTTCCATCATGTGAGGACATTTTCGAAAAACTGAAAATTGACCAGAATAATGCTTTCTTTGAGCAATCGTGTTTGTGAAATGCTACTTCAAGTGCTTTCATCTTCAGGTTATGTTCTTGTATATGAGAAAATGCACTGTGTCGAGTGGGGGAGTTGTGTCTGTTATATGTATATATGTGCTCATCTGTATGAATCTAAGGATGTATGCTTCTATTACCATGTGGCAGTCCTTTCCCCGTGGAGTTCATTACAACTAACAAGGATCCGGCTGTTTTAATTAAGATCAAGGGGAGCATAGGGTGATGAGGGAGTTGGAGGAGTGATGAGATGGAGAGATTAAATAAAGTGAGAATACAGGAGGGATGCATACATATGAGGCTTCTGGGAAGCTCATTTTTTTGAGTGAGGGAGAACTGGAGAGATAAAGGCCCGGAAAATGTTTCGTTATCCCTTGCGGCCTGCATGAAGATTTATATTTGTAAACAAGCAACATCAGTTTCAAAGCATAGTTTAGGTCGTATACATGCACACAAAACAGTTTAAGACTAAAATGAGGTTTTGATGCCAGATTATTCCAGTAACAGCAAGTAGACTTTTCCATTTCTATATATATATCTATCTTATACTATATTACTATACAAGGCAGGTGTGAACGCACCCAAGACAAGTTAATAATCTAGAGGGAGACACACCTGCCTTGTATAGTCCGGTGCGGTCATTTGGGTCGGTGTGAACACAATCCGAGACCTCTTAAGTGAACTAAACAACCGGACTCTGGTCCGCTGTAATAGGTGGTCTCGGAACGCTTGCTAGTGAACTCTGGAGCGGTTCATTGCTGGTGAATGCAGGAAGCGTAGTATTTACGTGTCACAAGAACGCGGATATCTTCAAAATCTTTAGCGAAAGAGTCTTTCAAGACATCCGCGGTTGTTTAGTTAAAGAGTGAAGCAGAATGAAGTGTTGAACATTGTCGTGTAAAGTAAAAATTCTCAGTCAGCTACATAAAAGAAACAATTTCCCCACGAGGGATTAATAAAAGTCCATCTTAAAGTAAGAACACCTGTTGTCGGTGAAACGCCCCTGCTTACTGCAGAACGTCTCTCATTATATGTGTTATAATGTTTTTTAACGGACGTTGTCTGAGTATATAATCATATGCGCGGGCCGCTAGTGTCTGTTGATCTCCAGATTAACAGCAGCATGAGAATAACCTGCCGAAAGTGCCGATGCTTCATGGCGGAGACTCCGGTAGAAATTGCCGGGATTTGCATTTTTACCCCCTTAATGTCTGACCAATGGTTGAACAGCATTTCCGTGCACATGACTTGTGTTTAAAGTTTATAGTCCGTTTGAGTTTTGCCCGTGTGAACGCAAACCGAACATTCTGAAAAATGAAACAATGAAACAAACTGTCGTCTGGTGTGCACCAGAAAACGGACTATTAGGTGTGAATGCAATGCACCCTTAATTCTACTTTTCAAAAGTAACAAAGAAAAGACAGCTTCACTGATTATTATTTTCTGCTTGGATGTTGTTCGTCAAAACCTGCCTGAGAGGTTCACCATGACTGTCGCTGTGTCTCTACACACTCACCAAGCCAAGAGTACACACTGATGTATTCCTAAATGGACCCTGGCTACTCTTTTAGCACCATGTTTCCATCCACACATTTTGATGTGGACAATTTAATTAAAAAAAGCTGGATGGAAGCACCAGCTCCAGCATAACGTTCCCCGGCAGAGCTGTCGAACACACTGCTGCAGCTGTTGGGGAGACTTTCTGCCTCCTCTGTCACCATTTTTCTTTATAAGCAACCAGCAAAGTTTCATATTAGCTCAGACAAAACAACCTGTCCGATAGCAGTACACTCTAGATATCCATCTCTGTTTCAACATTTGTTTCCAGACATTTAAACCTTTGCTGAGGACTCTTTATTTATCTGGCGGACAGAAACACACTCTCTATTTGTGGCCTCAGTTATAACCTTGGCTTTCATTGACTTGTTTTTATGGCTCATTTTCTTATTGGCTCTGAATTTCCTTTATTGTGTTATCCTATGAATATGCTAAGCAATAACTATCAGACGATTGCGACAGGCCACTTGTATATGCTACTGTCTGTTTAAACAAACATTTCCAGCTTGTGTATGCAGTGCACATAAAGAGCGTGGGAGTGGGATGCAGGTGATTAGAGCGTTGGCATGTGACAGATGGAAGGATGTACAGAGAAAACCGGTTTGATTGAAAGTTAGAGATGAAAGAAAGATAGCTTGAGCATGGGATGAAAATATGGAGTGATTTACATAATGAAAAGGGATGGTAGGATTAAACTACTGTATGCGGTATCAGATAAGGATGCAGCTCTGTAAACTGCATAGGATCCGAGAATGCAATTACTTATTTAGGCCACACACACGAGGGACCACGGAAACAGGAAAGATGCATCACTTAGGTGCTGAATTAATTTGCCTATTTGCACAGAACATAATTGTGTGCCTAAATAACTTTAAGAGCATCCTCGGCTAATAGGGCTTGGATTAATTTCACTATTGTTGAATGGGTTCACACACTGTTTCATATAATAGAGATATATGGTATGAGAAGTACAATTATCAGAGACTGAGAAAAGGGCAGAGGCAGCAGGATACCGAGACGAAAGACGAGAAGATACAATAAAAGATGTTCTGAATAAGTAATTCATTACAAATGGAAAAACTGAAAGAAATCAAGGTGACAAAAGGCATGTAGTTGTTTGGGTTGTGTAAAGCCGTTAGCTCATTATGCCGGTTACCTGTAGATGATGCAGGCTGTCTTTTGGCAGGTGGGGCAGTTGTTAATGTCCTGGCCAGTTCTGTATGAGCTGCGCCTGCAGAAACAACACGTGTAAAGCAGGGAACAAATGCCTTTTTTTACTACTGATAATTAGTTTTTATTTCACTAATAATAACAAGGATCAGGTTTTGTTGTTTGGAAAGAAAAATGAAAGAAATTAATAATTTTGAACTAACAACAGGCTCTGATTTTCATACTGAAAGAAGTATCATTCCCTCTACTGCTGTTGTTACCATTGGTATTAGTCTCTCCCACATCAGTTGTGTTCTCTGGGGATTCTGAACGGACACAAAATAGCTTGTGATGTTTTGTTGCACCCGAACAGTATTCAGGACGTCACCTGAAGACCCTCGTGGGTTGACTGCTTGGCATTCCAGGCAGATAAATAAAACACCAAGCGTTGTGTTCAATGGCTGTGTGGGTTGGTTAGTTGCAAGCCAATCATTAGATGATATCAATATCATAAACAGTGTTCAGTGACAATTATCGTTTTTTTTATAAATACCAATTTTAAAAAAATGTTGTTTATTTCAAAGAAAACATGCTAACACATTCAAACTGTGTTATCCAGGTTGAACAAGACTACAGAGCTTGTTAGGAAATAAAGTCGGATAAAAAGATCTGATAAGCTCTTGCCGACTGCCATTTAATTAAAAGGCTTCTTTTTGGATTGGAAAAGTTGGCTGCCCCTTTACTGAACTGTGTCGACGAGGGAGTGGCTGATTTATTTTGACAAAATAGTCATTTTAATTACATGGGGTTAGACCTTGTGACTGGCATCATTCCCCCCCCTACAATGCCAGCAAGACAAGACAAGTATTTTCTGCGGGAGAGAAAGAAAAACACGGAGCTGAGCACAGCCTCTTAGCTCAGCCGACACTTTTATCACAGCAGCCCACTTAGAGTGCTTTCATTCCTGGCAGTGCATCAGATGCATGCAGACCCTCTTACTCGCTGGTTCTCTTACTTTTCTGCGTCTCTTTTTTCTCTCAATTGCGTTCTCTTTCTGTCTCTCCTTTTCTCTCCTGTCTGCACCTTTTAACCCCTACTCTCACACTCTTAGTATCAGTCATGAGCAGGCACACACTCACACACTTTGAAGAATATGAATACATATTCTTACGCAGTTGCTCACACAGGCCAGGACAGCATGTACTGTACACCGAGTTTACAAGACCTGGTGTGCGGCTCAAACTGCATTTCTAAAAGGTAATCTGATAGGGATTAGTCTGAAGCAAGAGACATCTGGTAACCCTGAACAGAAAGAAGAAGGCTGAAAACATGAGTAAAGATTAAAAACACTTAAAGAGGAAGTCTAGGTGGACGAAGACAGATCTTTATAGAGAAGATGACACACAAGTGGAAGGAATTGGTTTAAGGTTGTTTTGGAGGAGGAGAATAATAAATACGCAGGATGGATTAGGAAGAAGTAGTTTGCAAGTTAGGATGGGAGAAAGACACATAGAATAAACTACACTGACAGTAAAGGTGAAATGAAGAGAAGAGAATAGAGAAAGAAAACAGAGTGAAAGCTGACACTTGACAGCAGGGCAGAGTGATGGACAGGTTGTCAGGGCCGATAGAAAGGTGTAAGGGAAATAAAGTGATTCATAGTTTTTTGGTAGCAGGCCTGATGCATATGTGGAGAAAGATAAACAGAAAAAGGTGGTAATTAATAATGAAGGAAAGAGAGGTGCAAGGGCAGAGGTATAGAAAAAGGATGAATAGCTTGAAGCAGGTTCAAGAGCCTCGAAGAAAGGGAAGGGCTTTGATTAAAATGAAGTGACTACGGAAAGCAAACTGGGATTTATGACATGGAGAGAAACAAAGGATGTGGAGCAGGAGAGTTAAAATAATTAGCAGAAGAGAGAGAGAGAAAGAAAGACATGATTAGTTTGCTTTGTCTCTCAGGGACCCTTACCTTGGGGAGCTTATATACCTTTACCCTAAAGGTATATAAGATGAAGGGACAGAGAAATTATCTGATAGCGTTGAACACAGACAGGTATCGTATATCCTTTTAGAATTGGATCACACACACACGCACACGCACACGCACACGCACACGCACACACACACGCACACGCACACGCACACACACACAATCACACGACAACCATTCTCCACTGGCCTGACATTTGAAATCTATTACACAGACTTGAAAGCCTGTCGGTGTATATTGCCATAGAAACTCAAGTATACTCTCTTCTCAGTCTTGCGCACTCCCTTGACACCATCTCTTCTTTCTCTCACCCTCTTACTGAAACAATATTGGAAGGAATATTCCTCAATTTTTCGCTATTTGTCTTGGTCCCTAACCCTCTTGTTTTGTGACATTTCACACAAAATCTTCCACTTCTCCTTCTCCTTTTCTTGTTATAGCCTTCTATCCCCTCTACCTCTTATTCTCTCCCAATTCACCCCCGGTAACTCCCTTCTCTCACCCTTCGCTGAGGGCCTTGCTCTTCTCCAGGTCTTGTATGACGTTGAGAAGCACCTTGATCTTCTCCTGATTCGACTGTAGGTTCTCTTCCACACTATGCAGCTGGCTCTCCAGCCCGCGGGGGGGCTTCCCTGTGGTTTTATCCAACAACCCTCCGGGAGCTCCATTACATTGTGCTTTCAAATGAGTCGTACAAGGCAGAGTGTGGTCCTCAAATGATTTGCTCTTCTGTTTTGTGTAGTCCTTGAGTTTCATCTCTTCCTTAGATGTTGTTTGTTTGGGAGTTTTTGGGGTCCCCTGGGTGCTTTTGGTTTGCGCAATGGGTGTGGCTGGTTTAGAACAGGTGGGTTTCGAGTTTTTGCGTGGAGTGTCTGTACATTTTAAGTCACTGTAAAGGGAAGGAGCTGGATGTGTAGCAGTGATACAGACTGATGTGTGTTGGTGCGTGTGTTCATCAGTGTGCTGGATTTTAGCCGAGTCATACTTGTGTTTGACAGATGATTGTGGCTCTGTTGCCTCAGCAGATGGTGTGTGTGGTCGTTGTGTATGTGCGGTAGCTGTAGTTCTGTCTGTGTTGTTGTTGTTCACTTGTGTGTCAGTTGTTTGCGTGGCGGAGTCCTTGTAATGCGTAAAGTCTGCAGAATGTGGCCTTGTCTGCTGCTTCGACTGGTTTTTGTTCTGTGTGTGTGATGTGTGGTTGGAATGTGAGCTGTGTGTTTTTGGTATAGTGTGAGACAGCTGTGGTACTTGAGAAGTCTTTAGTGATGTATGTCGGGGGGTGTTTGCTGTGTTTTTGGTGTAAGACAGAGAGTCCAGGGCAGGCTCTTTTCTTGCTTGGTTGGGAGCAACGGACGGTTTCCGTGGCGGATTAGGTAAAGTCTGGCTGGCTGATATTTGATTGACAGCCTTCCTGCGACATGCTCCTGTGCACGGTGTAATCTGTGATCGTCTCCGCCCACATGCCCCACACATGTTGGGTGGGGAAGTCGGCATCACTCGACAGGGCCGCGGCGGGGTGGCGTGCACGGTCGTACCAACACACCCCGTCTTCAAAGCCGAGCGTTGGCCCTCCCCTCGTAGAGACTGCACCCTCCTCCTCTCCCGAGCCGGCTCCTTACATTCTGTGGCGTCAGTGCAGACCCCTCCCACTGCGTCAGAGGCGACCACACTGCCATTTGTATACCGAGCTGTCCTTTTATCTTTAGTGTCCTTGGGGTTTGTTCGTATATTTTTTATCTGGCAGTAAACTCCGCTGCCCGACCCCTGTGACCCCATGTCTTCCTGTGTCAGGGTGTTAATCTCGTTCTGAGAAGTGTCCTTTGACACTAGCAGACTGTTGCTGTCACTTCTGAGATCTCCCCATGTCGTTGTTTTGTCCATTGACATGGATTGCGGGCGATGTGAGTTGTTTGGTTGGCTGCCGTGACGTTTGATGGAGGAAAGAGTCCGCAGCCCGGGAGATGTTTGCACCCCGACACTGCACAGCGGCCCCCATCTCCCCCCTGCCAGGGGAACCCCCAGCGCAGGCACCGGATTGGTTGGGTCAGCCACTCTCCTGCCCATACTCCCCCGCAGGTCGGCTCAGCCCCCTGGGGAGCTGAGCGGGATGGAGTCAAGCAGTGACATCGGCCAGCGTCAGCAGGATTATGTCCAATAAAAAACAGGGAATGTGTCCAACATTTGTTTACCCAAATGAATTTGTGTGTTTGTGAGGCAGCGGGAGAGAGTTTGTAAGTCGAAGCTGAAGACAGGAATCCAATAACCAATAAGGCTTTAAACCCTCAATGTCCTTTCATTAATGACCGCCTTACTAGATTAGCTACTCCTGATTGGACATCACTGTCAAGGCTTTCCTCAGTTTCTAAGCAGCGACCCGCAGATGGGGAGTTGGAAGGATTCTCTGTGCATTGCGAGTTTGATCTGGAGAGAGAAAGGAAAAGAGAGGCAGTAAATGAGAGAAACCACAGAAAGGAGGGAAACAGGGAAAAAATGTGAGATTGGCAAGAAGACACAGATATTAGGCACGTAAAGCACCATATAAAGGCTTCAACCTCGACTGAATGCACACACTGACCAGATCGATAGAACTCTATCAACCTCTTATTAGACTAGCAGGTAGGTGGCAGTTAGGGAGGCAAAACACTAAATCTCAGCAAGCCGTTCCTCTCCAGGGAGCAGAAATAGGGTATCTTGAGGGTAATAGCTTATATATCTATATATAAGTGAACCCCACACTACCATAGCAAGTCAAAAGTATTTGATTTAGGGACTTCACATATTGTATTTTTGTACATGAAGACACTGTGTGACAACTTTCATATGAGGTTATGTATGCCTCCGGCTGCAGTATGTAAACCCATGATGCATCATTCCTTGACATCTCTCAAAGTTGCATTTGGAAATCTATCTGATGAGTTCGGTATGAAACTACCATATTGTTACTACTCATCATCCTGTTTGTCAGTGCGGTTGAATGTTGCTTAAACCTTAGCCGAATATATGTGGATGTATTGGTCAATGGTTTGTTAGGAAGAATGATTTAAATTTGTTGCTATATTATTTTTAAATTTTATCTTTAATATTATTGGTAAAACTTTGAATTTCAAAAAGGGAGCAAAATCAGCCATTTTACTTGAATAACTTGAAATCACTTGAGAATTGACCCAGAATACTTGAATGTTGCACTGTGACACTATGATTAGCTGATGAAATTAGGGCAATACATCAACATTTTCCTCTGGAGGAAATTGGGTCATTGCAGCAGTACACATTGCCTGGATACATAGAAGAACAAAAAGTAAATGTACTGTAAGAGAGCAAATAAAGTTTGTTTAGATATACTGTATTTAGGAGTATGAAAAACAAGATGGAGCAGAATTTGTCAGTGATTAAAACGTATCAAATCACCTAACCACACCTATTAAGCTCTTTTTTTTAAATGTAGGTGTTTGGCAGTTATCTTACACGATTGTTTTGTGAGTTCAAATTGTCCGCACACAATGCAAGCATCAATATATTTTAGACGTGTTGTGGACCCAGGTCAGACATTTCAGCCGCTTTCTTTCTATCCACCTAATGTCAATTTAAATCAGACCCCTGCCCAACTCGGGAAGCCAGTATGCTGAATGTGGTTGCTTTCCAACAAATGTCTTTTTAGGCAAATAACAAGAAAACCAGAAACTATAATTTGTGCATGAAATTGAGTCCGATGCATCAATCAATCAATCAGCAGACAGAACTCTTCTTTGTTTCTCCATCAATATGTCGTTTTCTTTTGCCCCTATCTTCACCACAGTGTCTTCCTCTCATTGCAGTCAGTGTGTGATGGTAACATAGCTGGCATACGAACAAACACACAGAGGAAGGGATTATTTCATGCCAGCTGGTGCAACATTGCAGCACAGATCCTTGTGTTCTAGGGTCGAGGTTGGAGCGGTGCAATATTATTCAAAATAAATAAATTATGGCCTTGTTGTTTACAAAACCATTCAATAGAAGTTCAATTTTATTCCCGTTGCTGTTCCCAGTTAACTGAATAGAAACAGAATTTACATTAATAATAAGGAATAGAAATTAAATATATGTTTCTACAGTATTAACAGACTTACATTTACAAATACAATCATACACTTACATACAACCGTGCATACAATAAAAATGCCACAAAACATAAAAACACAACAAACACAAGACATCAGGCAAGCGTCTTTTTTTGTCAATTCTAATGTGTAGTGTAAAGTGTGACCGCTGTAGGCAGGGTTTCTGATTTCTGCATTGGACGAGTGTAAGACTGTTGCAGCTCTCTAGTAGTCTGGGTATTTCTGCTCTTGTTTGTGAGAGCAAAGCATTGAGTGGCTGTTTCATCAACATCCAATATTTCTTTGACCAGCTGAATGGCTGCCTGTCTCCTCCTGCTCCGAGGAGATAGGATGTGCGGTGGGGGGTGCAGCCTCTGGAGAGGATCCTGAGTGCCCCTCTTTGCATCGTCTCCAAGAGTGCAGCTTGGTGTGTGTTGCATCCCATCAGGAGGACACTGGTTATAATGTTTAAAGTCTAAGTTTGTGGTCAGTAAAAATGACAAAAAAAAAAGATTATTCATTAAGCGTTTTGTTTGAACCGCCAAGGAAGATGTCAGATTCATGTTCGGGGGTTTTCAGAGTTTTAGTCATTAGCCCTGTAGCGGTTACAAAATATGTTCTCTTGTGGACTCATTCTGCCTGGGATGTACCTGACTGCTGATATAATAGTTCATATGTATTCAGGATTAAAGTTATGCACACATTCACTCAAAGTAACGCTCTGTGTGACATATATCTTCTCATGTTGAAGCTGGATGTCACATGCTGTTTTGTCAGTATGAGCAGAATAGAAATGGGCATTTTAGCCCTTTCCACTGACAGCCAGTGTAATTATTATTGCAGCCTTTCTGGAATTTCAGTTTTCATTTATTATCATTAAATATGAAAACTGAGTGAATATAGTTTATTATGCTGGTGGTCTGCCCATGGGGCTGCAGTATTGGATTGGGAATAATTTAATTTTAGACAGTTCTCAGTCTGTATCCCTACTGTATGAACCTCTCTTCATGTTAGCTGGGACAACAGTTTGTGTGTGTGTCACATAGCCCTGTGCACTTAGTGCTCCTGACAAAGTTCCCGGGACACAATGGTGCTCGAGATCTTCACTGACAGCTTGCGGAGCATCCAAATATAAGCACTTTACATAAGGCACTATAGATCAAAGGACTTTCTGCTTCAGTGACATATTGCTGCTATTTTTATGAACATCTTGACAGTGTGTTAGTAGCAAGAAAGTCTATATTGCTTTAAAGCTAGGAAGGGGTCACATTATGTCTGAAAGTCTAGACTGTTTAGGATTTGTTGCCAGGGTAACTGTGGTAAAAAAGTTTCCTGCAATGGGCCACAGAGGCCCTTACCCAGAGTTCACCCATCCTTTCAGGTATGCAATTATAATTTTCCTACCTTTTCTCCCTCTCTCATTGGGGTATAAATGTGGCATCCTCGGTGCCTTCTGCATGTGTTTGTGTGTGTGTGTGTGTGTGTGTGTGTTTGTTTTTGGTAGTGTGTGTCTGTGGGAAATATATTTGCAAAGCATGACCCTCAGCCACCAGGTGGATGAGAAATGGACTGAGATGTGTTTTCGTATAATGATGATATTTTTCCTGAGAAAACAGTAACGGAGAGAGAGAGAGAGAGATGCAAAGCAATTTGAGAGAGCAAACCATGTGCATGTTTATGTGAAGGCAAGGGTGAAGATTCCAGATGTGCCCGCATATGTACAAGTGTGCATTTTTGAGTGTGTATGTGTTTTTGCCCTGGAAATCAAGTCAATTTCACTGCAGTTAATTTCCAGGCATTTGTTTTGCATGTTTTTTTTATTTCACCAGAAGCCAAGCCAGACACCAGAGCACCTGCTGCAGCAAACTTCCTCTCTCCGCTTGCTGTTCCTGCCTATTTGTGTGTGTGTGTGTGTGTGTGTGTGTGTGTGTGTGTGTGTGTGTGTGTGTGTGTGTGTGTGTGTGTGTGTGTGTGTGTGTGTGTATGTGTGTGTGTGT